AGAGCCCGCAAAGCTTTGTAAATTTACATTCTTCAAATATGCGTTCCAACCCTTTACTACACCGTCAAAGAACATAAGGGCGTATCGACTCTAATAATACAGAGACAGAGAGAGGCCTATCGCTTTTTCTTTTGTAATTTAATTTGAGCCATCGGGTGGGAAAGAGTTGGACGCGTTTACAGGAAATGTAGGAATAGATGTAGTTTAGGTCGTTCCAGGGTGTATTTGTATATAAACGATACCTATTCATTGACAATACGGGTAGCGTTTTCTCTTTGTCTTTGCTAATTAAAGACAAAACTGGGGTCCAATCAGTTGACATCAGCGGTAGTCAACCTTTTTCGATTTGGCGCATAGTACAGCCGTAGAAGTTAGTCGCGCAGAATAAGAAATAGTAACTGTTGGCGACCACGGGTTTATTGAGTAGAGATCAGAGACGGCAAAAGTATGTTTGGTCAAGCATTAAACTTGACCGTTGATGTAGTCCGTTTCTGCGGGTGTTTTCCCTTTTAGTTCGGTCGCAACCCTCAAAATAAACTTTAATAGATTTTAACGGCGGCTTTTATACTAAAATCAATGGACAATTCAGAATTAGACTAAATAGAAATGAAAAGGAGGCAGATACATAATTGAACTTTGCGGAATTGTGTATGTGTACACGTTTATTTTCACTTCTCTCGCTCCCATAAAATCAGAACGGATCAAAATGATATGACATCCCAACATATGTCAAAAGTTTTTCCTAACACGTCACGTCGAGCTAAACGGATATATGAATAGGAAATACTGCACGCAAGAACTAACTTGATGGGAATTACTCGTAAGTTTTTACTTGTGGTAGGTGGGAAAAACTCCGAATGCTAACAAAATTCGTAGTCATTAGAATTCTGAAGAACAAGCTAATAACAATAAAGTACGCGTTTCGTATCGGCGTATCGCAGAAACCAGACAGAACAAACGTAATATTTTGTGTGTCGAAAGTAAAGGGTTCCTTAGGGATACACGAGCCTGGATAAGAAACATTACTTGCTGATCTACCAGGAGATATTCCAGAATTAATCCCGAATATTATTCTAAGAAGTCCGTTTGCAAACACTGGATATAGAAGTTTAAGAAATTTGCATCGTAATGATTGTGAATGTAATTATATATAACGCATCTCCCTTTAATTTTATTACACGCAGCGAACTCTTCTCTCTTACGCTTTCTTAAACGGGCCCGACAGAGCAGAGGAGTAAGCGTGTAATGGCGTAAATTATTGGCAACTTAAAAGCTGCTAGTTCAGATGCTGCCGAGGTGTCTGTTCAGATAGGGTTAGATCGTAATAAAATGCTGGCACCACTGCGTATTGGTGAACTTCATTTATTTAAATTTTGAAATTTCAATGTAAATAAATGTTTCGCTTGCTTTTACTAAATGCAAATTTTACTAAATTCAAATCGTTTCCTTAATTCAAGATTTAGCAAAAGGTTTATTCGATATCGTACCTTATTTTAACGAAATAAGAAAAGGAGACGAAGCTAGCCACATCCACCTACTCTAAACCACACACATAAAATTACCAAAACGACATCGAAATTTTTATGTTTATTTGTCCGTTAACAGTGCTATTCATTAAGAAGTAGACATAGGGATTTATATGTATTGTTTTTCCCTATGTCTACTATTAAATGACAAAATCTCTTCTGAGGGGCTCCTAATTTTATGCAACCAAAATAACCTTTTAAAACAATTAAACATCTGGCTGTCACATTAATTAATTTGAATATTGTTGCTTTGGGTTCCGTATTTTTATTTTCGTTCGTGTGCAATGTATTCAACTGAAGAAAAAGTTGATATTGCTATAGTGCCAGAAACAGTTTAAGGAGCGTAAAAGGTTTATTTTCTGTTAAGCCAAAATGACAATATTCAAACTAATTAATATGACAGCCAGATGTTTATTTGTTCTAAAAAGTTATTTTAGGTGCATAAAATTAGACGCCTTTCAGAATGGATTTTGTCTTTTAAAAGTAGACACAGGGAAAATACACGTCAACTTCTTAATAAATATCACTGAATATGAAAATTGAAATTTCTCGCTTCCCAGTGAACCAAAAAACTCTACTCGTGTATTGAAATTCGTCCCGACGCGTTCACTACATCTCGAAAGTTGAGAGCGGCGTAATGTATCTACAATTTCTTTAACCAACAGGTTACATTCGAGAAACAGGCTTACACAGACTAAGTTCTGCTCCGAGGGAACTTGATTTTCTCGTTGTATTGGTCCCTCCAACCACTTAAAGCTAGAAAAATCTCCTACCGTAAGTGCGCAAGTAAACGAATGCTCGCATTGCACCAACTTCGACTGATCCTAAAATGACAAAACCTCTAGGCAACCGCCGTAGTCCTCACGTGCTTTCCAGGATCTCTTACCTAATTCTTCCTCCAGTACTGTCTATACTCATGCAGTTTCGAAAAAAATTATAACAACCTGGAAGAAGCATATACAGTTCTTAAACGGATGTAAGTGACTCCGGAACACACTTAGAAAACGGTTTCTCATGTGCTTTTACAAAACTCCTTGGTTAGTTCTCAGAACCATGTAGAAGCTTACGAAACTATGGAAATAGTATAGGGGTGGAGGAAGAATGAAGAAAAATTTGAAATAAAGCAGTCTAAAGGACAAAAAGGGAAGGTTTAGATGCAAAGAAATCGTGAAAAGGTCACGTCAGAAGTGTTAACTGATCGTGAAGGTAAAAAATTTAAAAAATTGAGGTGACGAAGAGAATCAAACGTGAAAACCGTGAAGAAAAGAAGCGTGGAGTAAATACATGATAGAGATCCAATAATTCCAAGGCTCAAGGCCTTCAAAGCTTCAAAAATGCAATGCTTTAAGGCGTTAAGTCTCTTAAACTTACGACGTCCAAAGAGATCTTGAGGTGCCACTGATTGTTGGTGAATACCCCTTTCTATGTATAGCCGTCCTTGTCATCTGAATTGCGCCCTATGTACTAAGGGTAATGTCTCTTACGTACGGCTTTTTAGGGGAATTTTTGTTCTTTCGAAAAATTCCCCTAAAAAACGGTACGTAAGCGACATTACCCTTATGGGATGGTTTTGTCCGTCTGTCCGTCTGTCTATTCCCCGTCTAACTCGAGAACGAAAAGAGACAGCGATATCAAACCTTCGCCAATCGACTTCTACGAGTTCAAGGACCAGTGCTATTGAATATGAGCCGGATCAAAAGTTTGAAAATCGTATGCGATTCTTCGTATCTTGTTAAATTTCGATGTAAAACTACACCTGTACTGGGATACATCGAAAACTCGCAAATCGAGATACAGTTTCAAAGGGAAACCTAAAAGTTCGAGTTTATGTGAGAAAAACCGATCGAAAACTACCCGAAAATTAGTTAACTGTCGCAATACGGAAGCTGTTTCCATCGCACGCCTCTGGGAGATAAAAATGAAAGGCGGAAACGTGGACGAATGGATGGCTTGAAATAATATTTCAAAATAAGCATTAGCCATAAGACAATATTTGACAAGATATATGATGTGTACGACTTGATATTGATATCCTAGTCAGGTAGATTGTCTATAGGGAATGGTATCAATATATCTAGCAGGCTGGCGTCTGTCACTTGTTTCATATATATCGGATGTCATCAGACTAGTTGATAGTTCCTTCGCGTAGCTTCCGTCCCAACCAATCAATGTATTGGATTATTTGTCGTTGTCACTTGTACTTTCCCCGATAAGTGATGATTCCGTCATTTACAAGTTTAGGGATGTTGTACGTACGTACCTCTAGTTAATGCTACAACTTCTTCTGACGCAATTGCAGCTGGTGGAAAGGAACATTTCTTTTACAATCTTTAGAATTATCTTTAAAATGTTCATTTAGAATTTGTTTTTAAGAAATCTCAACCCCCTATCTTCCCCGTTACGTGGAAAATCGAAATCGGCGAAGATGCAAAGTATAGTAAGGAAAAACTGTGCGAAATTGTTATATGGGGTGCTTAAAATTCGCACATCGCATTAGTTCATGCCATTCAATCATTTTTTTTATTTTTCTTAGTGTTATAATCCTCCCTTGCGATTCTCTCTTTCACGTCACTTTTACGATTCTATCACTCTTTTTTTGTGACTTTTTCTGCACATACCGCAATTTTTTCAGAGATCATCTTTTACTCACCCCACCTGTTTTTTTGCCCCCACCTCACGGTTGTTTTTTAAGTTTCATTAGTCCTCCTTTTTACACGCCACTCTTCATTACGCTTGTCTTCATTCTCGTCATTTTCTTACATCCTTCATTCTCTTCACTTCTTCGCGCCCTTTTCACTACTGTTTCACGCCTCGTCCCTTTGACACTCTACTAGAATACCGACACTAGACGCCATCTTGAATTTTGGACCAAGACCGTGGTATTGGTGAGAGGATTCCCTTGGTTTCATCACTCGGAGCTCGCCGGCGCGCACAAGTTGCGGCCTTGGTGAAAGGATAAATACCATAGAAGATAGCATTGGGATGCCAAAAGGGCATTTTTCCATTCTGAACTTTATTTAGCCCAATTCATCACGTCTCAAAGTTTATCAAAACCGGATGAATACTTTAGGAAATAGCGTTGGGATTCACAAACGGGCAACGATACTCCTATAAAATGACAAATTATTCATTTCAAATTTTACAAAGAAGAAAAAGCAAAAGCGTTCAAGTAAAACAAAAAGGTTCTGAAATAATGAGAGATCATCATATCGTGGTCCTATAAACGGTTCAAATTTTTCTTTTCGTTTCTTTTGGTTCAGAGTCGTATTTTAGAAGGTTTTCATAAACATTACATTCAGTTTTGTGTTTTTGATTCTGACTGCTTTAAAACCATTTGGGTTCTGTTATCTTGATTTTAGTGTTTCTGAAATTATAGTCTTAACAGAATAAACAATATGTATATCGGTATTACGAGAGAGGTTATCGGAAGGTTAAAATAGGATGATAGACAATCAGTTTTATTCAGCGGTAGTTGCCATGGAGCGTTGGCGGGGAAAGGTCGCCGTAGTCACGGGTGCAAGTGCCGGAATTGGGGAGGCGATTTGTGAGCAGCTCGTCAACTTTGGGCTGAATGTCGTGGGATTAGCCCGACGCAAAGAGCTCGTTGAGGAAATTGCCCGAAAACTCCAACGGGGGACAAACACTGGAAAACTGTACGCGTACAAAGCGGACGTATCCAAAGAGGAAGATATTTTGGAGGCTTTCCGTTGGATAACTGAAAATGTTGGACCGGTGCATATCTTGGTCAACAACGCCGGAATAATGCGACCTGGTGGCCTTTTAGACGGCACGAGTGACGGTTGGAAGGACATTTTCGACACCAACGTGCTTGGCCTCTGCGTGGCGACGAGGGAGGCGATCAAAATCATGCGAGCCCATAGTATCGACGGACACGTTGTCCATATAAACAGTATAAGTGGGCATACGATCGAGTATTTTCCCAATCTGAACGTATACCCTGCTTCAAAGTTCGCTGTTACCGCTCTCACGGAAACTTTGCGTCAGGAATTAAACTCCGTTGGCAGCAAAATTAAAATAACTGTAAGTCAGAAACTAATTTTACAAAAAAATGTAATTAGCCGTTGTAGAGTATTAGCCCCACTGGTGTAGACACGGAGATAAACGAGAATGGTGGTCTAGTCTATCCTCCAGAGATGATGGCAGTCAAGGATACACTGCGCCTTCTGGACAGTAAAGACGTTGCAGACGCCGTTTGTTACGTTTTGGGCACACCTCCGCATGTGCAGGTGAGTGGATCCGAAAATAGACTTCTTTTAATGTCTTTTCTTTAGGTCCATGAGCTGATAATAAGGTCATTACAATGAACGTCTTATACGCTCGGATCTTCCCTTCGTTCGATAATAAAGAATTATTTAACGTACTAAAAATATTTGTTACTACTGTCACTCTTGTGCTTCCACTGACTCTTCCCTGCCTTTTCGCTCTTGTCTCATTCACAGAAATCTTCATGCCCCATCATACCCTTCCACGTCCCCACCTGTCATCTTATGCAATCTTCCGCTGCCTCTTACTTTCTTACCCTCCTGCCTTCTTCTGGATCTCGTATGTTTTTTTGTACTACCCTGCTCTGTCTTCTTTCTCCTCTTCTGAGATTTTCTCTCTAGCTGCATTCTATCTCCTCTGCTTTCTCAAGTCCTCACCTGTCATCTTCCACCAACATCTTCCTGTCCTTTTCTTCCTTATCTGGCCCTCTATTGTGGTTTACTGGCTCTTCCCTACTGCCATTTCTTGCCTTTTTTCTGTCTCCTCGTGATTCTCCCTGGCCCTCCATCCTCTGCTCCCGCTCTTCCTTTCCCCCACCTGTTGCTTTTCCTTCTCCTCCTGCCCTCTCCTGCTTCTTCGGACTTTAAGTTGCCCTTTCCTTTACCCTTCTGTTCCCCCCCTTACCCACTCTCGCTTTTGTCTCGCGGCTGTTGTGTCCTCTTTTTTTCACCAACTGTGTCCTCTCATAACTCAAAAAGGACTTCGAGAATTATACAAAAAACGAGAGCAAAATAAAAGTAACTAAAAATTGAAGCAATCGGATAATCAAGGAGACTCGGTAAATCAAAATTTAATGACTAGGAGGAATCCATGAAAAATTCTAGGGTTAGGCTTAGGATAAAGGGGATTTTAAGGTTTTAAACGAGGCAGCACTGTAGAGAATTCGTACGATTTTGAAAATGAGGTTGTAAAATGTGGAGGAAGTGCTGAAGAAGATGATCTTTCCGAGAGGAAAACATCATCTCCAGTCACTCAGTGTACAATTTTTCGTGGTGGGAATTTTTGTTACTAAGGAGCAGTCGGTATAACACTGCCTTTTTTTGAGCCCGAAAAAAAAAATTGAAAATTGTCTGAGATCGACCGGGAAAAAACATTTTCTTATAGTTTGGCCCGTAGAATCCATAATTTCAAAGATTGGACTACTAGATCAAAAGTTACAGCCCTTTGAACTTTATGAATATATATATATATATATATATATATATATTTTTTTTTCGAAATTTGTATTTAGTCCATAACTTTTGAGTGAGACGTCTGATCGAAAAAGTACGAATCGTTTTGGATTCTACGCACCAAAATTAGTGAGAAATAGTGTTTTCCCGAGAAATTCTGGAGCAGTCAATTTTTGGAAAAAAAGGAAGGTATAACACTGCCTTTTTTTGAGGCCGGGAAAAAAAATTGTCTGAGATCGACCGGGAAAAAACATTTTCTTATAGAGTTTGGCCCGTAGAATCCATAATTTCGAACAGTTCCAAGATTGGCCTACTAGATCAAAAGCCCTTTGAACTTTATGTATATACAGGGTGACAATTTGAAAACTTACCACCCCCCATATCTTAGCAAATGAACAAGATATTTAAAAAAATCAAAATCCGTTCCTGTAATTCGGAGGGGGAATCACAATTACATAGTTGGCGACGCACCCCCTCACACCCCTGCGCCCCAGCCACCCCAACTTTTAAATCTTAAACAGTGACCCCCCATGTGTGATACGTCGTTGGAAAGCTCTGAAAAAATGCTTTCCAACCATACCAATAGCATTACATTTAGGTTAGTAATTATCGTGCAAATCAAAAAATAAACGAATATGATACATTTTCTAAAGTTGGCTTTTATTTCAATAAATGTTCAAAATGGTTTCCGTTCTTGGTAAGACAGTATTACTATGCGATCAAAAATGAGTTGCTGTCGAGTCGCCCTTTGAAATTTTTGTTTACATGGAAAATCGTATTTAACTTGAACATCCAAAGCCGACTCGACAGCAACTCATTTTTGATCGCCAGTTATAATCTATTCTCATACTCTTGTCGAACCTTTTCAAATGTTGGTTTTGCAATATTTCGACATTCTTGAATTATTCTCTGTCTTAGTTCGTCTATGTTCGCCGGTTGCGTTTTAAATACGACAGATTTCAAATGTATCATATTAGTTTATTTTTGATTTGCACGATAATTACTAACCTAAATGTAATGCTATTATGGTATGGTTGGAAAGCATTTTTTCAGAGCTTTCCAACGACGTATCACACATGGGGGTCACTATTTAAGATTTAAAAGTTGGGGTGGCTGGGGCGCAGGGGGTTGGAGGGGGTGCGTCGCCAACTATGTCTTTGTGATTCCCCCTCCGAATTACCGAAACGGATTTTGATTTTTTTAAATATCTCGTTTATTTACTAAGATATGGGGGGTGGTAAGTTTTCAAATTGTCACCCTGTATATATATTTTTGAAATTTGTATTTAGTCCATAACTTTTGTATGAGACGTCTGATCGAAAAAGTACGAATCGTTTTGGATTCTACGCACCAAAATTAGTGTGAAAAAGTGTTTTCCTGAGAAATTTTGGAACAGTCGATTTTTGGAAAAAAAGGAAGGTATAACACTGCCTTTTTTTGAGGCCGGGAAAAAAATTGTCTGAGATCGACCGGGAAAAAACATTTTCTATAGAGTTTGGCCCGTAAAATCCATAATTTCAAACAGTTCCAAGATTGGACTACTAGATCAAAAGTTACAGCCCTTTGAACTTTATGTATATATATATTTTTTTTTTCGAGCAATTTCGAGCTGTTGACAGAAAAGCTCCCAGTGAATGAGTTCAATATGAACATTTATAAGGTGTCTTTTTTATATACAAAATTCAGCCGTATATTGTAGTTCAGTAAAATAGGGACAGGACCCGAGGAATCATCACTGGTTTTGTGGTCAATATAGTCACCAGCTTTCGGGGATATACCCTAAAGCCATGAAGGCCGTAAAAAAGTGCAACAAATGTAAGTGCAGCGCATCCAGGCTCTTCTGCAGAAGAACCGGGAAAATCCTATCCGCTCTTCCTAGCCCGCAGGCCAGTACAGGAGCCTGCGAACTTTCTCACGAACGTTTTCAAGGTGTGAGTTCCACCAAGGTGTTCTCTTCTTTCCTCGAAAAGTACGCAGAGTATCGGAATATGATGAGAAAGACCAAGAACATTTTATGACTATAATTGGTTACTGTGGGGAGGATCTACAGGGTGTAGAAATTGCCTAGATCGGTGTTTACTTAAAAATTTGGATGAGGAGGAGCAATTATAAATGATGTTCGGTTCTGACTTGAATAATGGATGGTGCTAAAAGATAACATATTCGCCAATTTGTGGGGGGACGGGGAGGTCTCCTTGCTTCTTTTTGCACCGCAACGGTCCAACTGTCTAATGGTGAATTTGGATCCAGATGGAGGGATGTTGAAGCAGGTCCTCCACATTGTTTGTCGTACAACTATAACTGAAGCTGAAAAGCCCCAATTGAATGTTAAAAGTGAATTGCAAAGACGTAAGTGAAAGATCTGAATGCGAAGGTAATAAAAGTTGTATGTTACCGGCGGCCAAAAATACTTCCATTATTAGACGCACAATAAAGTTATAAATGAAGCATCAAACAGGGCACTTTTTCATCCATTAACAATTAATATTTCAATCACGTGTACATTTGAAAACTCCAATAATAGAAGAAGAGACGCGTTCTTTGTAGATAAAAGCCCAGTAAATTGTCAAAGCCTGAAAGCAATCGCTTAAGATTAAATGCTTTTAGCGCTGCCATGTTTTTCGCGTACACGAAAACGTTCTCGTTTCGAACTACCTTCGTATTATGCATTCTGTTAGACAAAGGAAGAAAATCTCTCCTCCTCGATGCAGTGTTATTAACGATAGTCAAAAAAAGATCGACGATGGGCGCTTTGATAGCATTTTTATATACAAGCGAGTAACCATCCGCACAAATTTCGATTATTAATTTTTCGTTTTCCGGAAGTTTTCCGATCAAAAGCTGACTGGATGCCTGTAACGTGCCTTAATAAAGTGATTTTTCTCTTGGAACATATTTGAAAAATTGATTATTCGTTTATTACCTCACCGACGACGTATTAAATATTCCTTTCTTGCCTGAGCTCGGCTCAATAATACCTATCCGTACAACAAATGAAAAATAAACAGCCTCAATTTCCCAAGACAAATACACATGACCTGGTATCGCGTTTTTTTATTGGCGACGACGAAGAGCTATTCATTCTGTAATGATGTGTTAATAATTAACGAAGTTCCTTTTGAAAACGATCGCCGAGTATACAAATATTTTTCTCCCGACCAGCGGCAGCGCGCCGCGAGGGGGACGTACGCAAATCTAATACAAACCAAAAGTTAAACATTTACGGAGATTTAAATTCGAAGGAATGCCGTGAAGTCATCCGTGTCTTACAAATCCCAATCCGATTTATCGAACCGACGACTTTGTTTTATCAAAGACTACTGGGATCGTCTTTGCCGGAGGGTTAATATTCTTTTGTAACTCGAACAAAATGTTTAACTCCCGAATAAATTCCATCCTCGAAACTCGAGGGGATTGAGAACTTCATGCTCATTTATTCCTTTTATTTACAAAACTTCCAACGGTATGATTAAACGATTATGTGCGGCAGGTACCTTTAGATTTGTCAACTGTAACGTCGATTGTTACCAATTATTTCATTAAGCCAAGGGATTTATTATTTTCGGTAGAGATTATAGTCATCGTTTCTCTTTTGAACTATTTCTATTCTTATTTCGCTGACAAATGTCTGAGGCAACCCTTTCCTGCCCTCCTTGCCCACCACCTTGTATCACCAACCTTCTTCTGAGAGATTACTCCAGGACTGTTCTGCAAAGTAATTGTGAGACTCTGGAGATTGTTAAAAAAGCTTGGAAAATACCAAAAATAGATGGACTAAAAGACCTAAGAGACAAAGTGCCTTGGTATACCTTCAAATGCGCTGTAAACCACCTTTGAAATTGCTAAAATGGTCTTGGACGGTTATAAAAAAGTCGAAAACAACCCTAAAAAAATGATAGGTAGTCTGGGGAGACTCAGAGCGCTA